AGAAGTCCAGAGTAGAAATTATAGTAACTTGAACTTACAGGAGAGCTGTGGTGATAGTAAGATGTCAGAACCTGAAAATATTTTGAAGATAGAGCCCCTGGAATTTTTTGCTAGATTAATGTGAGTGTTGGAAGAAATTCAGAAGTTCATGAAGACATGTTTTCTGATTTGAGTAACCGGAAGAATGGAGTTTTTTTCTATCAGAATTATCCCACCACTGCTATAAACCTTTTTAACATACTACAATATTGTTCTAAACCTATATTGTTCTAAATCTACTGCATTTACGGAGATCAAGAACATGTAGGTAAAAGCCTGTCAGGCATGGATGCAAAAAAGAATTAAGTTTTGGACGTATTAATTTTGACCTCCCAGTGGAGATATCTAAGATGATGGGTACATACGAGCCTGAAAGTGTTTTGGTCACAGATAAATATCACCATGTATTTGGAAACCAAACATTTATAAAGCTGGACTTCAAAGAAAATATATAAAGGAGACTGAGAAAATTAAACAGTGAGGTGAGAGGAGAGTGTCCCACGGGCCAAGCAAAACAAGTCAAGGATGAGGAATTAACACGTACGCCAAATGTCGATAACGGGTCAAAGACAGTAAGGATGAAGACCTGACTGTCGGATTTCAGAGTGCTTTTCAAATTTAAGTAATTTTCAGTGTTGTGCACTTTTTTGCTCTATTTCTTTGTATCCAAAAAAGAACTGTGCCTTACTTCTTGTGGCTTTTACCTACTCACCAGTTTCCACTGGTAACTAACTAGAAAAAGACAAGAGTGCATGTATATCCGGAATATAGAGTATGAACACTAGAGACAATGGCTTATGACAATCTGCTTTATGACACAACCTCCAGAAGAGAATCAGGCCAAAGGAGGCATTACCTAACATTTCTCTCTCCCGACAAAGCCCAAAACTGAACTCTTGCTTTACCTACACCTTCTCCCCCATCTCAGCTGACCATAACTTCATCTTTCCAGTTGCTCAGAACAAATATCATGGTATCATGTGTGACTCCTTTTTCTTGCATATCTCAGTCAGCATGTGACCAATTCTCACCACCTCCACCTCTACTATTCTGGTCTTAGCCATCATCAAATCTTGCTAAATTGCTAAAATAGTCTCCTAGCTTCTATCCTTTACCCTTTACAGTGTATCCTCAAGAGTAGACAAAAAGAAGCTTCTAAAACTAAATCAGTGTCATCCCTCTGCTCAAATCCCTTGTAATGGGTCTTTATATGAATGTTGATAACATTCAGATTAAAAACCAAAAAGTCCTTATAATGGCTTGCAAGCCTCTATAGTACCTGATAAAAGTGAAAAACACTTCCTTCTATACTCTCACACCACTTCTGAGACCAGATGTATGGGATTCCCACCACAAGCAACTCTCCAATTCTCAGTAGAGACTGACGGAGTATCCTACAATTTAACTCAACTCTGACACTACCTACTTGGAGTACTTGGAGTTAGTGCCAGAGCTCACAAGTTAAGGGCTCAATCTCAGAAGATTGCCCCTCTTACTTCAGACACCAATCATAAGTCCCAGGTTGTCACCTGTACTTCTGATTGAATGCCTGTAAACTGGGGTTCCCATGACCTCCTCCATGGGTTTGATTAATTTGGTAGCATGGCTCACAGAACTCAGGAAAACAGCTTACTGGCTAGATAGATTTTAGGCTTATAATACAAGAATACAACTCTGGAATAGCCAGACAGAAGAGATGCATAAGGCAAGGCACGTAGGAAGGGGCATGGAGCTTCTGTGCCCTCTTCAGAGGCGCCACCCTCCCAGCACCTCCACATGTTCACCAACCCAAAAGCTCTCCGAACCCCTTCAGTTAGAATTTTTTATGGAAGCTTCATTACATAGGCAAGAGTGATTCTATCATTGGCCATTAGTGATTAACTCAACCTCCACCACTCTCCCCTCCCTGGAGGTGATGGGGAGGCTGAAAGTTCCATACTTCTAATCACGTGGTTGGTTCCCCTGACAACTAGCCCCCATCCTGGAGCCCTCAGCCACTAGTCACCTCATTAGCACACAGAAAACATTTATCGCTTACAGAGATTCCAAGGGTTTTAGAGCTGTGTGCCAGGAAATGGGACCAGAGACCAAATATATATTTATTATGTCACACCTGCCCATTCCCTCACCTCTAACCTCATCTCCAACTGTTTTCCCTTTACTTTCTCCATTTCTGCTATATTGGCCTCCCTGTTATTCCTGAACACACCACGCAAACTCCTGCTCTAAAGCCTTTGCACTGGCTATTCCTCTGCCTGACATACACCTCCCCTTGATACCCACATGGTTTCTCCCTGGCTCCCTTCATGATTGCTTTGCTCAAAAATCACCTTCTAAATGAGGCCTACACTTATTTAAAATAGCAACCCGCCACAATCTCCACTCCACATTCCCAACTCCCCTGCCCTGCTCAACTTTTTCTTCTCCCCTTGCCATTCTTCACCATCTAATATGCTATATATTGACTTATTATGTTTATTATTGTTTCTCCTCCCAATCCTCTTAGAACGTGAAGTGACTCCCAAGCATCTAGAACAGTACAATAAGTACTCATTAAATACTTATTGAATGAAGCTCAGAAAACACAGTGAAACTTCTATCAACAAACCCTCTGAAGTGAGTGTTCCTAACAAAGATGACATAGGCACTAAGGGCACAGGACAATTTCCCACAATCTGGCAGCTAGGTCAGGGTCAGTACTATACTAACAAAGAGTAGGATTATCTCAGGCCTATAGAGCAGGCCCACATAGGAGGAAAAATCTAGGATTTAAACAGCCTGCTCACCTAAAAGCAGGGAGGGCCACCATGAGAGGGGGCAACAGCTTATTATGCAGGCTGAGAAGTTCAGAAGAAGTCAAAGCATAAAATGTCTCGTGGACAAAGAATGCATGATTGGCTCCTGACAAGGATGGAATCCACATTCTGATAATGACTTCATGATTCTCACAATTATTTATTCCACCTCTGAGAAAGTTTCCAGCAACACAGCACATCACTCAACTACCCAATCATCAAAAGCATCAGTTCCATAATCTGTAATCATAATCTATATAAAAAGAGTCCATATAGAGTTATGAACCATCTATTATGTATTAAATGCCAAATAAAGGTCCAAAACATAGCAGGCATTCAGTATATGCAAGCTACTTCTAATGACAACACCACCACTATCTTTGATGTAAAATGATTTTTAACAATATAAACAAACTTTTGAATAAAAAGTAAACGCTGTATTATATGACATTTTATACCCCATTTTGCTCTTTCTCTATTTCCTTAAACTGAGGTATCAATCTTGACTAGAGCCTTGATCCAGATTAGTGGGATCAGATAAGTTACACAATAAAGTATCAATTTCTAAATTAGAAAATCTGTTAATAAGTCATTCTTAGTAGAAAATAAGCAATTTGATTTATAGAGCTAGCCTACTTTAAGGAAACTTAATATATGAAAAATTCTAATTTGCAAAAATATGTTTGGGAATGCTTCACTTTACAAGTGAATTCACCACAGTATTATTTTAAACATTCATTTACAAATCATTTGGACTAGAGAAGGAGAAACTGAGTTAAAATGTTAGAAGGCAATGCATCAGAAATAAAGGGAAAGAAAGTCTGAAATAACAATGTATCAACAGAGAAGATTTAATTTAGAAAAATTCAACCTATGTACAACTTTTCAGAAAAATAACTACAAACTTCCTTAATGACAATTTTAATAAATAACACGATGATCCATCAAGCCACAAAAAATAAAGAAGAGCACCCAAAATGGCTCTTGACATTGCTCTCACCATGTCTCTGGGTCCCTGAGAATGCCCCCTGCCTGAGTTACTGCCCCTTGCATAGTCCATCCAGTACTCTCCTTACACTTAAGATGACAGTACACTTGTCATCACCTTCAGATTCCCTTAGTTATTGTGTCTTCCCTCTACAGCAACATAGTATAAACCTTTAACAAAGGGATGTACAAAGTACAGGAGTAACACAAAGATGAAGTAATCTACTGTCCTTTGCCGGAACAGAAGAGACTTCACAGGTGTGACGTGGGTGATTGGAAGTCGAAAGGGGAATGGGAAGAGAAGAGAAGCAGCATCTTGCAAAGGCAAAGCTATAAGCAAAAAGATTATTTTATCTTTGGAAACTCACTGTAGCTGGGGGAGGATTGGGAACAGCCAGAGATAAGGCTTAGGAAAGGAAGAACTCATATTTCGGACTGCTTTAACGTTGTCCTATTATTTTTGAATCTCTAGTGCTCGGCGTACAATAGGTCAATAAATGTTTATTGAATAAATTTGCTAACTGGGAAAAGCACAACAAGTAAGTAAAAAACTTCCAAATTCCAAAGGAAAAGTATTTCTTCAAATTGCTTTTTGCAGGTCAATATTTGGAAAATAGACGAACGTAATTATTTCCAAAATAATTCAAAACTATGATGAAAACTCAGGTAACTGATTTGTATTGAAACATGGTTTATGTTGCATAACATTTTATTTTCTGATGACTTACAAATACGAATATACAAAGCAATTTTTCTGAAGCGACTCATGTAAACAAAAATTCAACGAGATGCAACAGTTTGCAGCATTTTTGTATTGTCACAGACACTCTTGGTGGCCTGATGAAGCCTACAGATTCATCAGAACAATCTTTGTAAATGCATAATATAAAACTCATAGGATTAAAATAAGAAGGAAAGAAAAGAAAATAATAATAAGATCACACAGAAAACCAATTATATTAAAATTCACTTCTAACCCCAGACCACAATTCTAATCATAGACCCCTAGTTTAAGAACTCCTGATAGAGGACACACATTAACTCGGAAAAGCAAAGAATGGATACTTTTGGCCTAGATATTCCATATATATATATATATAGTATTCCTATTATTTAAAAAAAAGCTCATAACTTGCCAAGATTAGAATTTTATGTAAAGTTATTTAAAGTTTAAATAACCTTTGAAGATTTTATCTATGGTAGAACAGGTTGCATCCTCTTCCTGTTCCTATTATGCGCGTATACCGTAATGCAAAATTTTCTAAAATCATTACATCTGCACAAAATTAATAATAATATACTAACACTACATATGTGGCATCACTGATTTCTGGCTGGCTCTCCAAAGAGACATAAATTAAATTAGCACACTTCCTCCCTTAATCCAAGACCTCATGAGCACCAGGAGGCGAGGCTGACAATCTCTGAGGCCCCAGCACATCTAGCACACTGTTCAAAATACTTCCAGATGCAAAATATAAGCTACCTTGCTGGAGGCTGTCTTTGGGGTCTATAATTAAGAAACACCTTAGAGTTAAAGGTGTCACATAACAAGATATGCTAAGTATTTTAGAAACTAAACATCTTTGTAGGATAGCTTCATCTACCACTTTATAGATTTTAAACATATTTTTGGAAAACTGTAGGGGAAAGCAGTGTCCTCTCCAGCATGGCAGGTGTGTGAGTTCCAAACAGTTCCAGCAGGGACAATAACTCTGATTTTGACTTTGAAAAGTGTACATCACCTTAAAATAGATAAGAATTTTCATTTTTTTAACCCTTTGTCTTGCAAAAACAAACTTCTAAACCACATGATTCCAAAACTGTATTTCTTGATACCACATAGTTTAAAATAAACATTTCTTTGACACTAAATAATATAAAAGATCACAAATCACAGCACATACCAAACTCATAGGAGCTTTGTGATTTTTCTTTTCTTTTTTTTAAAGGAAAAGAATAAACTAGGTGGAAAACGTGCCCCTCCTCCATTAAAATAGCTATCTTTTTAAAAACTACTTTTTTTATCTTTTAGAGAAAATAATAACATCAATGGATTGACTATTAGTGTCAAGTTTCATGAACTATATACAATCTACAGACATTTATGAAAAGATTTTTCTTTTAATTCATAGGGAAAAGGAAAGGGCTGTTCTTGGTTGCATGTTTTTTACCCTGTAAGAAAAAATGCACAGAACAACCAATGAGTTTGATTTATGAACAAATATAAATAAATCACTTTCATGGTTGATCAACAGTCATCATGAACGTAAACAAATTGTCCAAAGAGCCCGTTTTAAAAGCCTCTAAAACGTAAAACAAAACAAAAACTTTGTTTTTTTCAGACTATAATTAACTCCTACGTACAACGAGTCTGTCTATTTGGAATTCTTATGACAACGGCAGATAAATCACGTATTACTTTTGAAAATAAGTTTGGTTTTTTGTAAATTTCTCTTTAACAGGAGGCAAGATCTTTGCCTAGACCATTGTCATGGAACTGAAAACAACAGAAAGTAAAACTAACAAGCATCAATTTTGCCAGGAGCTCATTTAAATCAGAATTTTGTGTTAGCACTTGCTACTCCTTGTAAATATTGAGATTAGCAATGCTTTTCTTTAGAGAACACAACTAAAAGAGCGAATCAGAGCCTTATCACAACACAAAGAACTTCCTAAGTTTACTGTTAAACATCCCTCAGAAACTGCCTTGAAAACCCCTTGCAAAAATATATACTTTTTCCAGATAAGGAAACATTTGGCAAACTCTGCCGTCTAACAAACAGAGCTTTGCAGTACATTTTGCAAGCATTAATCAGACTTTGCAGTGATAAAGAAAACCTTGCAGCGGGATAACAAAACCTCAGAACACGCTCAGATTGCAGGCTTTAGAAATCCTCCCTGTTACACCTGTGCAAGTACTTCCTGTTCACCACCGATGTTTAAAAGTAGTTTGTAAACGTCCCATAAGTCGCCGTTCAGAAGCTAAACATTAACTTTATACATTGCTACTACCACCCAGAAACCACCAGCCCAAAGGTGCTCACGAATCCAGCCATCAAGCTTCTCCAAGGAGGGCAACATAACCATCCTGGACCACTTTAAAGAACTGCTGCTCGGGAGACGCAGTGGCTTGGAAAGTGAGGGGCAGGCGCCAAGGAAGCGTAATTCTCAGAAACCCAGTGCACTCAGCGACCCAGCTAAGGGACTCCAGGTCTGTCCCGAGCCTGCCCTCAAACACAGCAGCACTTAACAACCCTGACCCAGTAAGAACCGCACCTCCTCCCTCCTCGCGCGCTCCAGCTTGGCCACAGGCATCTCCTCCAGGGCCGGGACGCCGCGGGAGGCAGGAGGTTGCGTGACTCCGGGCGCCAGAACCGCGGGGCAAAGAGCCCGGGGTCTGCCCCGACGGGTGGGGGGCTGAGGACGTCGCGGGGCTGCGAGGGGAGAGACGAGGTCCAGGACTGGGACAAGGATCTCCCAGTCAGGCCCGCGGGGGTCGCAGGTCGTTGGATCTCCATCCAGGGTCTAGTTTCGGAAACTTACCTGGCGCTCTGCCCTCCTGGGGCGAGGAGCGTGCGCTCCAGGGAGGGAAATACCGGCCTTCCAGTCCCACAGGGCTCCCTCCCGCTGGCCCAGCTCCGCCGCTCGCCGATACCAGGCTGACACACCAACAGCTGCCACCGTAAGCGAAGCTCACAGAGAACTGGAGCAGACGCGGCTGCCCTCCGCCGCCCAGAGCTCGACCCTGCGCACGGAGCATGCGCGCACGCCCCAACACCCAAGGGCCAGTCAGGCCAGTGACACCTGCGATCAACAGGTCCCCGGAGCCCCGCCCCTATCCCCGCCTCGCGCCCGCCCCGCCTCCTCGGAGCCGGCCCCGCCTTTGCGCTCCCCGAGCGAACCCCGCCCCCGCATGCGATTTCCCGGCTTTCCGGACCTGCCGAACTGTATTCCCGCGGGGGTTCGATGGGGCGCGCGATCCAGTTGACTTTCTCCGAGGCGCGAGATCCCGCGAGATCAAGAGTTGGAACATTTCCCCTAAGGCGGGGAGTGCTTAGCTCTGGGAGAAGGTGGCTGCGGGTTGCGCTGTGTGGTGTCAATGGAAGGAGGGGATCGTTCCCCAAGTGGAGGCGATTATTCCGATGCTCTTGGTTATTTATTCGCTATGTTCTAAGCTCAGGAACGCAGATCCACCAAGGACTGGGCTTTAGACAAGGTGGTGTTACCTGAGATAGAACGATCTGTGCTCTGGCGTCAAAACCCCAGGCGGATGCCCAGTTCCCTTTAGCTTTCTGTGAATCATTGCGATCTGTTTGCAGTTAAATGGCTTCCGTTGGCATGAATGTGTAGTCCCCAACTGGTTATTTCGTGACTATTAATAAAATGAAAACTTTAATAAACATGTTGACTCAGTTAATGGTTAATTCTAAGAGAGATTTGGCTGCCTCCTTACCTTCCTTTCGAACAGGCTTTAAGTTATAAGCTGCTGCTTGGGAATTGGGCTAAACTTTGTTTTGTAATAAATTGTTTCTTAGGAGTGGTTGTATGAGAAAAACGCCGTCATCTTTAGTTATCAAAGATCCCTCTCAATAAGTAGTAATTAAGGTTTTGGAGCTCATGCCAAAGCTGATGCAGGTAGAACATACAAATAAAATCGATTTAAATGAACTTGGTAGGTTACGCTTAAAAGTTTATTTGAAAAAATAGAGTGAAGAAACATTTTAGTTTGGTATAGGAGAATATTGCTTGAGTCTGAATCAGTGAGAGTTTATTGAGCGTTATGATGTTCCCTTTACTGAATTAAGAACTGAAGGAGATACAATGAAATTTAAGACATGGTTTCTGCTTCCAAGAAACGTAAAACTTTCAGAGGAGGAGGAAAAAAACTCTACAGTTAAAAAGTAACGTCACTTAAAAAAAAAAAAAAAAGTAACGTCACTTACTCTCCCCTTGGTTTCAATAGTGCCGGTTTCTTCTGGTTTTGCAGCTGCTTCTCTGATGCACTTTAAATATTTTTATTCCTTTGTGTGCCCTCTCTGTTCCCAAGCACTCCATTTTCTTTTGTTGTTGAGCAGTTACTCCTATTGTCTCCTTGAGCAATCTCATCCCCATCATGGTGTCCTGTGTACCAAGGACTTGCAGATGCATATCTTCAGTTCAAACCCTTTCAAGCAATAGCATCTTCACTGGAATTTCACACAGGTACCGTAAATATGTCCCAAATTGACACTGGCATCTGTAGCATTCCCTACTCCTGATGACGTATTTTTCCCCACCCATCTGGAACCTAGCCCATTTTCATTCCCTATTTCAGATAATAGCACTTAGTTGCCCAAGTCAGAAATCCATGAGTACTCCCTGTGTTACGTTACCTTAATTTCCTCTATCCTAATATCAAATTCTATTGACTCCTATCTCTTTAAGTATCTCTCAAATCCACTCTTTTTTTAATCTCCACTCTCACTGTCTTAGTCCATCAAGTAATCATCATCTCGCCTGACTCATCTCCTTGGGACTCTTGCAATACCCTCGTGTTATTTCCTATTCCAGTCTATTAATAATTTTTCTAACATGAAATGTGGTCATGATATTCCTCTACTAAGATTTTTTCGGGGGGCCCCTGTTACCAGTAGAGCCATTCATGATCTAGCCCCAGACGGTTAACCTCATCTACCACTCTTGCCCATTTACTCCACACTAGTTATAATCAAATTGCTATTCTATGATCCTACTAGGTTCTCTCCAGATCCTTTAGGTCTCAGTTGAACATTTATCTCCTCCATGGAACCTTTCATAACTTTCTGAGACAGACTTGCCCTTCCTTCACCCTTTTTGGACTTAAGTCTACTATAATAATTATATTGTTACATAATTATTTCTTTGCAATGTAACTGACAGAGCCATCCCCACCTCCACTCTTGGAAAAATAATTTGAACTGTGGATAATAAAGGCTCATATGTTCTCGCTTCCCCATTTAGAGATTACAGAAGAATGCCCTTCAGTTCACCCTGCTCAAGAATTTGACCAGACCCTGACTGTACACTTTTTTAATCGTATAATTTCAAACTTTCTACCAGTTCCTGGCATATCTAAGTACTGAGTTTTAAATGATAGACTTGTAATAAGTCACAGGTTAAACATCCATAGGGCTGTCTGAAGCAAACAGATGAAACAAAGGAAAACTGATATTACACTGCATATTAGGAGAGGAGTTGCTCCCAGGAACTTTGTAGTTAGGAATGTCACAAATGCATTGCCTCTGTGAATTACCATTTGTCCTTGAGGGACATGTGTGTGCTTGATTCAATAGTTATTTATTGGGTCAGCTCAAATTTATGAAGAAGGATCTGTGCACTTCACACTGGCATGAGATCATAAAAGCGAACAAGCTTGGAGTGCCGAAGACCACCTTATGTTGTTCAACTGAGGCCTAGCCAAAGTTCACATCACTAGCATCACCACACTTACACACCTATCATTATTATTCTGGAGTGATTATAACTCAGACTCTGGAAAATGTACTACGCTGTGGCTAGATTCACCCTATCACTGACGGGTCATAGAAGTAGCATCCTTCTTTCCTGAGGTGCTGTGATCCAGTAGTTCCAGGAGGTAATCAACAGCTAAAGGTATGGCAAACCATGACTCAGGTGGGTGGGGCAAAGTGAAATACAGCATAGAGAAGTAGTAGCTGAATACCTGACTCAGGTTTAGATAAAAGACAAACTCCTTTTTCCCAAAATGCTTTGAGGAAATCATGAGTGCTGACAAGTATTATTTCCTTGCTAGAGAGCAAGGACCACATTTTTTCATTGTTGTATTTCTAGAGCATAGCTCAGTGCCTGGCACAGATGCTTAACAAATATGTGTTCATTGGATGGAGTGAAAAATTGGAAGTTTTGTTGATTTTTTAAAGAATAGAGATATCTGTGTTGGCCAAGGTTATTGGGGAGGGCTTCTGTGGGAGATCAAGTGTGAGCTTCAGCTTGGAAGATCCATAGGTAGGCATATTTGAAGGCATTGAGAAAGAGACTGACTACTTGAAGAGCAAAGTTTTAAAAACAGGAATGAACAAGGCCAATGCCGGGCTGTTGCAGAAAGCCTTTGTAAGTTCTTGAACAGGATGATTAGTTTGGAATTACATACAGAAGATTTATAGGGGAAATTATAGCCAGGCAGGAAGATGAGCTAAACTAGAGCGGTTCCAGAGAAATCTTCAGGCTGTGACTTGATGATGAGGCCAACCAGAAAAATCTAGTCATAATCAACCACTCCCTCCTTGACACACTCACATCCTAAGTTTTGTGACACCATCCTCTCATGGCTTTCCTCCAACTTCATTGACTTCTCCTTTCCAGTCTACTTTTCTCTTCTAAATGATAAATATGCCTCAGTGCCTGGTCCTGAGATCTCATTTATCCTCATGGTTTTAAATCCGTTTCCCACACGGTAGCCAAAGTAGTCTATTTAAAATGTAGACATGTTATTCCCCAACTTAAATTGTGCAATGATTTACCATTTTCATATAATAAAATCCAAATTCTTGCCAAGGCCTACAGACTCTGAATGATCTGTCCTTACCTCCCTAACAGCATCTGATGCTATTCAAGGTTTTGCATTCTTTGTTCCCTTTGTCTATAACAGTGGTTCTCAACTGGGGGTGATTTTGTCTCCCAGGAGACTTTTGGCCAGAGACATTTCTGGTTGTCACATTTGGAATGGGGTGGGAGTGGTATCCTGTGAGGCCAGGGATGCTGCCAAACATCCTACAATGGACAAGGCAGTCCCCCACAACAAAGAATTATTGAGTCATAAGTGTCAATAGTGCCAAGGTTGAGAAACCCTGACCTACAACACTCTTCCTGAGTCTCCAAGTGGCTGACTCCTTGTCATCCTCTGTACCTCAGTTTTGCCTTCATCTTCTTAGAAAAACCATCCTTCACCTCCACCTCTTTGCTGCTCTCTATGAGTGTCCTGTTTAATCACTTCATATCATTTATCACACACAACCTGTGATTATTTAGCTTATTTAT